TTTATTCATCAAAATTGACTAATTTCAAAAATATTCATAAAAATTAACCCTGTTTTAACTAGTTCAAAAGATTTCTTTCTAATTAGTCGGGGTTGGCAACCCCAGCTTATTAGTAACCTGGTTAATTAGCTTTCTAAATAGTTGGGGTTGGCGGCCGTGACTATTTTAGGCCGCGGAGTTTACTCCCACTATTAACCCGTGTAATTAAACTAGCATCTAATTAGTTAGGGTTGACAACTCGGACTAATTAAAAAGAAGCATTTTTTTAAATTGACTCAATTTTAGGCTGTGCTATAGTTGATGGGACGAAACTGGGTCGATTTTTATAAATAAATTTAAAATAAGTTTATTTTAGGTAATAAAATTGTAAACAGGTCTATTTTGAAAATTTCCTCAAATTAAAAACGGGGGATAATTAATTGAAAAGCTCTGTATCTCCCCCCTCCCTTTTCTTAGATTAACGCAGCAAAGGGCGGCGCCAATTTCTCCCGTTAGGAAAAGGTATTTTTTTTCGTGGGGCTTTTTCTTCCATTTTTCATTATTTTCTTAGTTTTTTCCAATAATTAATGTTCTTTTTGAATCTCCATCCAGATAATTTATACTCTAAAAGCGAGATCTTTCTGCAAGCTGCGGATTACTGGTAATTTCCTAATTTTTTATTCCCCCATCGTCATTGTTTTCCTGACTGAGATGTATTTGTTTTTGGGCAAAACCCTTAAACCCTAGAAAGCCCTTCTTCTCATTTAGGCGGGAAAGAAGAAATCTTTGATGCGGCCACCTAACATTTCGAAGGCAGATGAAGCCCACAATAAGAAGACCAAAAGATTAAAGGTTGAAATAGAAAATGTAGGGTCTTCCTCTGTTGGTTGCAGAGATGTTGCTACATCGTCCTTTGATTTTGAGAAGCGCCGAGCGTCTTTCGTCCTAAACGAAAACGAGATTTGGGCTGTAAAGGATGAGTTTGGGATGCCCCGCCGCTACGTGTTTGTTTGGCGCGGCGGGGACATCCAGTCGGCCGAGCTCCATGTGTTGAGGAATCGTGATCGTTTACGGCTCGGTGGTGGTGTTCCTCGTGCTTGGGGAATATTCGATTCAGGTGCTTGTCATGAACCCAAAGACATACCTACTTTGTCGCACAAGGTTGAGAAGCTGAAGAACTATAATAAGGTGTTGCCAAGGACAGGTGAGGTTTGGGCCATTAGAGCAGGCAATGCTGAAACATTATTCGGGGATTCGAGCCCAACGTTGCTCAGATATCAGATGGTGGAGGCCCTTACGAACTTTGTCGAAAATAAGGGGATGAAGCTTGTGTATTTGGTCTCAGTCGCAGGTGTAAATGGTAACCGCTTCAGGAGATACCAGTCTGCGTTCCGCGTTCAACCGGACTACGTTCTAGAACGGTTCTCCCACCAGGTTCCTTGTATGAGAGTTTCTGGCGATGATCTGTTGGAGTTGGATCCTTCATCCTTGCCCCTCTATGTTGATGATTTTGAAACTAGTGTTGCGCCCGAGATCAATGACAATTATCTTTTCTTGGGTCTCCTTGATCGAATGGCATCTGCCAATAGAGAATTTGACGATGAAATTTGGGCTGCATGTGACCATGACTGTCGAGTTCCTCAAAAGTATGTTGAGATCCGGCACGAGAGAAGGTACCAGCACCAGCACAAGAGAAGGTATCATAAAGCAAAGCATGAGCTGATTCCTATTTTCACCTGCGACAATGAGAAGAAATGGCAAGAAGCTGGGTTACCCATAGCTTGTGGGAAGTTTACTGTAGCAAATGTGGAAAGTGAGAGGCACTTTATTCTCTCTCATCGGCTGTCTACTCGGACGAGGAACTATGAACGTACCGGAGATGTGTACGATATTAATATTGATATGTATCCCAAGGAAGGCGAGGTTTGGGGAATTTACAAGGACAGAAATCTGGTAATGGCTTGCAATCCTAGAGGAGCACTATATTATCAGATTGTCGTGATCGTAGGCACAACAGAAAAAGATGTAAAAGTAGCGCGCTTAAGCAGAGTTGAGGGATTCAAAGGCCTTTTCAAGAAAAGCAGCAATCTTGCTAGTGGAGTAGAGTTCCTGGTTCCTGTAAATGAATTCCACAGGTTCTCGCACACCATACCATCTTACAGATTTGATGAAAAATGCAGTAAAGAATTTTTTAGGGGAGCTTTTGTATTGAATCCTTTTCTAGTACCACTGAAACATGATGAGCCCTATTCCTTCAATGATCCTTTTCTTGCGCAGATACCAAAAGTCCAGTCAAGTTGGTCTGCTATCCAGTACTTTGTCAATAAACAGCGGAAATCTATTAGCATGGCCAGTCAAGCGAATAGCTATGAAGACTCAGAAAATTGCACTCTAAGTTTATCAGTAGAACAAGAGCAGATTATCGTAGAGAATTTGCGAGAAGGGGAACCAAACATTGGTGAGATTTCCCCAGCAGAAGTCCATGTGAGTGAAAGAATGGAATGTGAAGCAGATGAACATGAGACAATTCATCATATCAAGTTTCATGATTTTGAGGATAGTAAGTCAGAAAGCACGTTAAACCAGGTGAGGTGTGGGCATTCTGCAATAGACTAAACAAACTTCCTTTTTCTTACGCTCGCATAGATAAGTTTCTCAATTCCGGAGGAATGTTAGATGTGACACTATTACAACCTCATCCTGTGGCTGATGAGGAGATGCAATGGGTTGAAGCAAATTTACCTATGGCATGTGGGACTTTTAGAGCAGCTGAATCCACATGTATTGAGAAAAACTTACTGTTACACAGAGTGATATGTGCTCATGAGCAGCCATCAAAACTCTTCTTCAGAGTATATCCTAGAAAAGGTGAAATCTGGGCAATTTACAATCACTGGAATATTGACTGGACAATTTCTGGTATGAGTACCAATGTCCAATATAAGCTGGTAGAGATTGTGACAGATTTCACTCAGGAAGCAGGTGTTACAGTGGCAGCCTTGGTTAGAGCAGAGGAGCATGATAATGTATTCAGAAGGCAGTTGCATGAAGGCTTTTGGCTGTTTATGACATTTAAAAGAAAAGAACTGTTAAGGTTTTCGCATCGAATTCCTTCTCTTAAAATTACTGGAGACCAAGCTGGGGGATGCACTTCTGGAGGATCCTTTAGGGTCAAGTTCAGTCATAATGGAATCTGAGCTAATGAGTTGCAAGTTGGAAAAATGAGCTATGTTCAAGAATATGAAAAGTAGGTATGGGCATGGTATTATTCTTTTTTGGCTCTTTAGTGAAACCTTTCATTTCCCCCCCTCTTGTTTACTTATCTATGTTTGTTATATGTCTTTGCATGGTTCTTTTTCTGTTAGCTTGTAGTTTGGCTCAACCTGTTACTTGGATTTTGCATTCAACTATCAACATATCTGCTATCTACAGTGAGTTAATACTCATATTTTTAAGAAGATGCATTTAAGTTGAATAAAATGTGTTCAAGAAATTTGTGATGACTTAATTTTCTCTTATATAAATCACGTTTATGGTCCTTTTTTTCCGTACCTAGGTTCAACAACATATGAATAGTTTCATTCCAAAATATCCTCCCTCTCATCTATTAGTGAGTTGTATATATCTGTTCGTGTTTCTCTGAGTTGTTGGGGCTTCATACTTTCTGAAATTGCAATTCAACTTTAATTCTTATGTAGCTTCTCTTTAGTTATTAAAAACCTTACATTCCTCTAATGTTGAATATTGGGAGCCATGAGCAGCTGATTCGCTTATGGTGCCTTGGTATTCATTTCAATCAAAATTTATTTTTTTACTATGTGTTATTTCTAAATTCAAAGTTAGAATAACAGTGATAACCATAACTTGAAGACATTCGAGTTAATGATTGTGGATTTGAAATTCATGTTTGTGAATCTCAAGTTCATTGGTCATGGAACTCAAGCTCATGGACATGGATCTCAGGCATATAGCTACTGAGTTTCGGTCTGGTGCTGTGGAGCTCAAGCGCATGGTCATGAAGCTTGGATCCATGGCCATGATTTAAGACCATAAAATGGTAAGAGAAGATGAGAAAGCGCATGGTCATGAAGCTTGGATCCATGGCCATGATTTAAGACCATAAAATGGTAAGAGAAGATGAGAAAGAAGTGGAACGTAGGAGAGAAGTAAGTTACCATGATTTAAGACCATAAAATGGTAAGAGAAGATGAGAAAGAAGTGGAACGTAGGAGAGAAGTAAGTTAACAAATACATACAGAAAGTAACTTTTGTAATGTGTTTGGGGAAAGAATTGGAGAACATGAAGGTATGGACTTTGCAAAACGTTCTATTTTCTTTACTGTTATGAGGTCCTTTGTGCAAATAATCATATTTTCAAAGACCAGATGGTGATTGTAGTGTTGTTATTAATGTTGTGAAGGTCTTTGAAAAAAATCTTAGTTAATGATAACAAATTAAAACAAAAATAGTGTAGGATAGTTTTCTGAAAAAAAATACACTCTAGGGGAGTTCATTGTAATTTCTTGAAACTTACCCTTTGTTATTTAGAACATCTGTCAGATACATCTTAACCATACTCTTCGTTCTTAAAACATGTTTGATATATTTATTTAATTGTTCTATACTAAAGAACATAATTTAGCGGAAAAGATAGTCAGATTATGGGCTAATATAAACTGTGAAATGTTCAGATATGGTCCGATATAGAAGTGAGATATATTGAACTACTCTATAGAAGATTTATGAGCCAAGGATTTTTCATTTTGCAAATCCGTGAAAATGTATAATAGGTTAAAGTTTCAGCATCTGTAAATAATTGTTTGTTATTAGATTGGTATGTCATGGGCAATGTGTCAGGATCTTTGGATGAACTGACATGTTTAGTACATATATGCATCAACATGTTCCCATGCTGTACTCTTTATGAAATTATCGTGTCGTGTATCCATGTCATTTTGTCATGTGTCCATGCTTCTCAGATGCTATTAAACATTTATAGTTACTTATGGATTTCTATATCATGTCTCATTTTCTCCATGATCCATTGTTTCATTTTTCTTTATATTTCCTGGCTAGATGGGTACTTACTGGGTGAATTCTCTGTCACATGTCTAGTAAATGATGCTAAAGGAATTTCCTCATTTTAATTATGAAAGATGTATGCATTGTGGTGATTTTTTTTTTCTTTAAGTTAAGATGGCCGTTCCATTGCTATACCTTGTTAGCAATCGGATCATTTTGAGAGACCATTAGATGTATGCATTGTGGTGATTTTTTTTCTCCCTTTAAGTTAAGATGGTCTTTCCATTGCTATACCTTGTTAGCAATTGGATCATTTTGAGAGACCATTAGATGCAGATGTTTGTATTGGGTCTTTTACTGTCTTGTGTCCTGAATAATCACTTAGGTGTAGGCTGTCATTTTAGTCGCTCTTATGAGTTTTTATCTTCAAGCAAGGTAGAGCTTAACTAGATTTTGTAGCATGAATATCACAGGACTTGGGGCCTATAAATTCTTTTATTTATGACATCAAAACCAAATAGGCATCATTTGGGGATTATCTGAGAAACTCAATTTGTATGGCTTGCCCTGTTTCTCATTTGGGAAGCTAATGCTGAGTGCGTATTGTAACAGGATGCAACTTGGGGTGGAAGTGAACCAAATAATTAATAAACAGTTCGGGAAATATTCGTCCAATTATTCGATCAAATTCGATTCGATCGTTCATTTAGTATTAAATGAACAATTTTTAGTGTTCGGTTTATAAACGAATATAATTTAACCAAAGCTACATACGATTCGGTTGATTATTAATTATTCGATTACATTTTACATTTTATTCCTATTAATTAAACTTATTACAAATATTACCCATCCAAACTTTTATTACAAATTGCATCCCATATAAATAGATAATTAAGTTAAGAGGTTGGGGTGTTCCTCACTTTCTATTCACCTCCTCCAAGTCCCAATTTGAGAATCGCCGACTTTGGGATCTCTCTGACTAATCTTTTTCCCTTCGATGATCTCTCATCTTCCTCCGACAATCTCGTCTTTCGGCTCCCTCTTTCTCTCAAGTTCTCTCTCTGACCGCTTCTTTATCTCTCTCAATGATCTCTCTTGACACTCTCTTCCTCTCCGACGGTCTGTAGTTATCGGCGCGTTGTTTCTCTTGAGATCTATCTTCATGCTTCCATCAAAAGGTGAGATGAACCTTAAAATTGTATCTATTTCTTGATTTTTCCTTAAACTAGTTGCTAAAGATTGATCTTTTGTGCATCATGTTGAAATAATTGAAAGATTACACTTGATAATTCCATGAATTTCTGATTTTCCACTTCCTCTTCTTTTGTACATTTCCCCCAAATAATTGAAAGCTCATTCATTTGATTAATATATGATGAAAGAGTGCTGCTTGGCATGCTTGCCGCGTGAACTGATTTTATTACCTCTTTACTAAGATTCAAGGTGCTAGTTGCATTTTTCTTTTGTCCATTTTTGTTTTATAAATGTCAGGTTTTAGTAAATATTCACGAAATCTGTAGAATGAAAGTATTTTTCTATTTTAACTAATATTTTACAAGTATTATGTAACTTTCCTTAATTATACATTTCCCATTTATTTTCATGTGATTGATTTCAATTTTCAGGATTTGATCAACAAAGAAGATTGCATCAGGGCCAAAAAAGAGCAAATTGGGAGAATTTTGGAGTCTTAGAGAACGTTTTTGTTGTAATTGGGTAAATGTGGTATTGATCAACTAGGTATGATTGTGGTAATTGTATGGATAACTGAAGACTGGATAAGTTTATGAAGCGATGTTTTTCTTGTTTTATTTTATAGGTGTATGTTTCTAGTTATTTACTACATTTTATATTGTGAAAGAAACTGCTTTGTTTGTAAATTTTGAGCACATAACGTGTATTAAACTACTCTATTGCATTTTCTTTGGCCTCAGGTTCAGGTTATAAAAGATTATACTTTGTTTGCTGAGTTTTTTTTTTTCATTTGTATTGATTTTCAAATAATTGGCAAATAGATACAGAATATTTGACGAATAACTTGATTACTAAACCACCAAATATTGTTAATCAAATATTCACGATTAGTTATCGAACACATACATAACTAAACAAAGCGAATTCAAATTCTAAATATTATTCAAGTCGAATTTGAACAAGAATACAAATAGTGCTATTTGAGCCGAATTCGAATTCGAACAAGAAACTATTCGCTCAGATTTTAGCATTTAGCAAATTCAATTGGGAAGACGTGATTGAAATATTTTTGTTTTTCTTGAAGATAGTCTGTTGATTTTAGAAGTGATGCTATCTGTTCATGTATCTGATATTTTGATTCCTTCATTGACAATGATGTGGCACAATCCACACCAAATGAAATTCTCTCTCCTACTTTATTCACATGGTGGTGATTGTGTCATATCATTGTTACGGAGGGAATCCTCCTCCTTGACAATGATACTCATTAATCTCTCTCTCTCTCACACACACACACACAATATATATAAATATATATATATATATATATACAATAAATTTGAACTTGTGCATCAAATTTTCAAAAATGCAGAAAATGGCTTTGCATTAAAAAAAAAACAAATGTAGCACTCTCGCACTTGCAAAAAGTAACGGAAATGAGCAAATATTAATAAGAATCAATATAAACACCCTCATTTTTATAAAAATAAACAAACTGATGCTCTCGCATCTTTATGTCGTGTACGCTTTATGGGCAACAAAGTGCTAGTAGATCTTCATGGAAGATCGTAATATTTAACTTGTTAAAAGGGCTCTTACACGAAGCCCAAATGCTAATTCTGTGTTCCTGATCCAAGTCCATCATTCTAACTCCCAATAAAAGAGAGATAAAAGACAAAACAAAAATGGGGAAAAAGAGAGAAAAAGAGAGGGGAAAAAACTAAAAGAAGGAAAATTTTAAGGGAAAATTGTATTTAGGCCCCTAAAAATGAAGGGGATGTGGCCCAGCTCCACATAGTTTTTTCCTTGTGTTTCAGCCTCCTCACACTCTTCTAGGAACAACTTTCCAAATTTACCCATTTCCCTTTTCTTCTTCTCCTCCTCCTCCTTCTCTCCCCTCTCTTCCCTCCTCTTCTTCTCCAGACCCTGGCCCACACTCCCCACCCCTCCTCCCTCCCCCCTCCTCGGGCCCTCGACTGGGCCGGCCACCAGCGCTCTCACCCCTACCGTCACATCTGCTCTGAAACCTCTCCCTCTTTCAGATCCGCATGAGACTTTGAAGGAGGTTCTCTCTCTTCTTCTTAATCTTCTTCTTCTTGGTTCTTGATTTCGAATTGAAAGGGAAATGGCGTTCGATCTGAGGCAAGTGGTTGCTGCTTTTCTCACTCTGTCAATGTTCACGATGCTTGGGAATATGATTAAGCAGGATCACTTTGATTCGTATGAGGTACGATCTTTATTAATTGAGCTTGAGTTGGAGTTTTTGAATTTGATTGAGTTTTTAGGTTCATTGTATTGGATTTTGGACTTCCATGTTCGTTTTGTGATTAAATTGGGTGTTTTGATGTTGAATTATGTCAAAGTGTTGAGGATTTGATGTGGATCTGTTCTTAGTCTTGATTTCTTGCAAGCAGATGCCTGGTGAGATTTCTTGCACACAAGGTGTTTGATATAATAATGAGGATAATTCTTTTGACCATAAACCAAAAACATAGGAGAATTCTTAATGAGGATAATGATGATGACCTCAATGCTTAATTATTATCCTGTAACAACTTTGAGTTGCAAATGAATGATATCGTCTCTTACGAGCAGAGTTGATGTTAGCTTGATATACATTTTTAGTTCAGACTGCATAAAGTTTTTGGCAAAAGGGTTCTTGATCAGAGTACACTGAAGCACTTTCTTTTTCGTCTCTGTTTGGGATAATTTAGTCATCTGATCGCGCATGATTTTCACATGAGACATTAGTTTAGGTTTGGGGGATTTCTGACAGAACTTTTTGGAGGTTAAAGTGACTTTTCCAAACTTTCTATGGGTTATGTCAATTTTTATTTTTTATTTTTTATGAGGGACTTAACCCATTCTATTAAGAGAAGAAGATTATAGAGGATGCACAAAAGTTGGTAGAGAAGGTAGAGATTACAAGTTATAGAAGGATGAAGAGAATAAAACTAACTACAACGTGATCGGTGTGAGAGGCAAAATTTAGCAAGTACAGTTGAATTTTGAATAGTGTCTGTTGTTGTTGAGATATTCAGCAAGTAGAGCTAAATTTTGAAAATTTATTCAGCAAGTAGAGCTAAATAAATTTAGGCATGGAAGGTGATGAAAGAAATCTTAACAAAGCCACACGGATCTCAAACTGTAGGTAACCAAGAAAACAACACATTTGATTGGAACAGTAGGCTAAACGTACCTGTAGGCATCGCAAGGGGCATGCCATTTATGCACAGAGACTTACAAGAGGTCGGTATAGGCCATGACAATCTCAAATCCTCCAACATCCTAATGGACACCAACATGGAGCCCTGCATCAGTGAGTATGATCTCCTCGCAACCCCGAGGTAAACCAGCCTCAACAACGGTCGAAAATCAAGTAAGCCCATAAATGACACAGCCCTCAAAGATGATATTTTCAGCTTTGGTGTCATCCTTCTTGAGCTACTTACCAGAAAAATTGTTCAGAATAATGGTTTTGATTTGGTTTAGTGGGTGCATTCTGTGGTGAGAGAGGAATGGACAGTTGAAGTTTTTGATAAGGGACTGCTCTCTGAAAGAGTGCCTGAAGATAGAATGGTGAAGCTTCTTCAGATTGCATTGAAGTGCATATACAAATCTGCCGATGCTCAACCAACTATGAGCCAAGTTGCAAAGATGATGCATTCATTGAAGGAAGAAGAGGATAAGTCTATTATGTCTGAAATTGATTCAAGGGATACTTAAAATTGGGTAGTCTGTTTTCATAATGTCATGGACTTTATGTATATGTTCTGTTTGACTATTATTATTTGCTAGTGTATATTTGTTGGTCACATATGAGGAGGTGGAAAAACATTGTTTATTTATTACACTGATGACATAGGTGATATTAGTCCAAATGGTGCTTTCAATCTCAATTTTAATAAATGAGGATGTCTATTTCTTATTGATTTATTGTTTTATCGTATCCTTGACTTTAGAAATCAAATAGATTCATGTCACATCTTATTAGTTAATGCACTGTGGTAGAGACACTAATTGCATTATTTCAAATAATGATGGGTCATCCCCGTGTTGCTAGTCCAAATGACACTTTCAAGTTGAAATTTGACAAAACCTAGTACTGATTTGCATGAAACGTGTACTCATAACATGTTAACTTTCAACTGAACATGTTTATGTTCATCATTACATGTTAACTTTTAGCTGAACATGTTAACTTTTATCATAATATGTTAACTTTCACTATCATATATTAACTTTCACTATAATATGTTAACTTTTTTCATAACATGTTAACTTTCAACTTAACATGTTAACGTTCACCATAATAAAATTCTTACATTCTTACAACAGATATTGCTTGAATACACGATATGATTAGACTTACAATCTTAGAACTTTCTAACTTTTTACATGTTAACATTTCAGTTAGAACTTTCTGATTTTTTTAAAAATAGAACTCTATATATTAACAACAACTTGCATATGAATCTTCATACAACCACTATTTCGGGTGCCTCTCAGAATTTTAGTTCAAAAAAAAATTATTATGAAGAAAGTTAACATATTATTATGAAAGTTAACATGTTCAGCTAAAAGTTAACATGTTACGAGGAGAGTTAACATATAGTGATGAAATTTAACATGATTTATGAAGAAAGTTAACATGTTATTATGAAAGTTAACATGTAACAGTAAAAGTTAATATATTATGATGAACGTTAACATGTTTAGTTGGAAGTTAACATATTATGAGGAGAGTTAACATATAACGATGAAAGTTAACATTTTATGAAGAAAGTTAACATATAATGAGATTTAATAGTGTATCGTAACTTAAAGATTATGTACATGATTTGTATATATTATGTACACAATAACCTCAAGATTATGTACATATTATGTACCATAATATTCAGGTTTTGATACACATAATTTATATATAATCTTTAGTTTATTATTCACATCAAGTTCTACCTGAATGAAGTTGTACATATTCACATGACAGCCACAATACCTTTCACATACAATCGCAATAAATTACACCAAAATTGATCACTAAATAGACACAATATATTTTATTAAATTTTTATCTAAGTACAACCAAACCATAAGAACACATAGTATAATCAACTAAATAATAAAACATGACACGTTATAAGCAATTCTGGATGCAACATAAGGATCATCAGTACAACAATCTTATAATTTAGTAGTAGTCACAAGAGGATGATTCAACATTCCACAACCATAAAAGTTATAACCCACGTCTGAAATTGAGTCATTCTCTCCAATAAAACTATTTTTTCTCACCGTGACAATATGTCAAACACCTTGTGTGTAAGCAATCCCTATCAGTTTGGGCTTTAAAGACCAATCGAAGATCTTCCCAAATCAAGCCAATATCCCTCTGCATCCCAAATCATCTCATATTCACAATCCTCATCATCCTTCTCTTTAGATGAAACTACCAAATTCCTTCCAATCGATCTGATAGAATTCATGCATTCGCTCAACCAGCTCCAACATCCAAAACCATTGTTGGCCAAATGATGAGCGAAACAAGAACTCAATTGGCAACAACAATAGTATGGACCACCCGCGGGTGGGACTCATGGTCAGCAGCTCTCCATGGGGGAGTGTATCTCTCCAGGCTATTGCCCGTTGTTGGTCAGGAGTTCGAATCCTCGTAGCCGCATTCACCTGGTTTCCCTTGGTTTAAGGGTGGGGACGGAAACCCGGGGTTTTATTG